TAAATATCAAATAAAATGTCGAGCGTTATTCAGTGCTTGGCTACCCAGATAGCACAGACGTTATGGACGACGGATTGGATACTGATTTTTCTCCAAACGCTGATCGTGCTCTACAGACCGGACGTTGCCGACGTCGAAAACAGGGTGAGACCGACCCCTCCACCCAGTCTACGAAGTAATTATGACTTTATCATAATCGGGGGTGGCTCCGCGGGTTCCGTATTGGCCAACCGATTGTCCGAAAATGAAAAGTGGTCGGTGTTGCTACTCGAAGCTGGACCGAACGAACATTATGCCACTGATATACCTGTGACGTATTCGAGTATAATATCAACTTCGTTGGTGTGGAATTATACAACGTATCCATCGGATAATTATTGTACGGGACAGCCCAATGGTCGGTGTCTCTTCGTCAGTGGCAGGGTATTAGTTTGTTAGATAACAGAATCATTTGTCGAAGCCCTATATTTTTTATGATTCAGTTTTTGATCATTGTTTAGAGTCTTGGCGGTACCAGCGCGATAAATGGACTGATTTATATGCGTGGGAATAGACGTGATTATGACCGCTGGGAGGAAGCTGGCAATCCAGGATGGAGCTACGAAAACGTTCTACCGTATTTCATGAAATCCGAAGACATGAGAATCAGGGAATATCAAGGATCCCCATATCACAGCGTCGGTGGATACCTGACCGTCGAAAACTTTCGTTATCGTTTACCTGTAACGAATTATTTTTTGGAAGCAGTAACAGAAATGGGCTACGATTTAGTCGACTTGAACGGAGCGAATCAAACTGGATTCAGTTTAACTCCCGCAACACTAAGGGATGGTCTGAGATGCAGTGCAGCGAAGGCTTTCCTTCGTCCTGCTTGGAGGAGGCGTAATCTACACATCAGTACCGATTCTTTCGTGGAAAAAATCTTGGTACATGGTGGTGAGTACAATTATCGTGTTGTGTGTTTAGAATTTCGATTTCTGATTAATAATTTCTAGTTTTCTATACGAGATAAAAAAATTATTTAACCCTTTCGCTTCGCCGAAATTGTTTCACCGTGCCGAAAAGTGTGCACATTGCCGACTATAATTATATATATTTGATGCCGACTATAATTGGCACTCATAGCGAAAGGGTTAATTCGCTACCCCAAACTTCCTTCAAAATCAGACGTCTTTTTAAAGAAAAAGAAGAACGAAGACAGCTTTATTTAATTACTTTCAAATTGCAGATGGTGACGAAAAGACTGCTTATGGTGTGCAATTTCGTTTCCAATCTACTCGTTATACAGTAACAGCCAATCATGAAGTGATACTGTCAACTGGCACAGTACGATCACCGCAAATATTGATGTTGTCTGGTATCGGACCAAGAGATCAGTTGGAGGAATTAAATATTCCAGTGATTCACGATTCTCCAGGTGTGGGGAGGAATCTTCAGGATCACGTAGGGTTCAATGGACTGACTTATAACGTGACTATCCCAAGAAATTATTCTGGATCCGAACCTTTCTCATACGCAGACCAGGATGCTTTTGACTCTCAGACCCTCACACAGTTCGCCATAAACAATACTGGAATGATGTATGAAAATCCAGACGATGACGGTTTGGGTTTTATTAATACCAGGTGAGTCTATGTTTATAATTAACGTGCAATTTTCATGGCTCGCTGCATTCACTTCTTTAATCCAATTATTAGACTAATAATGAGCACATTTCGTTTACAGATATGCAAATGCATCCGGAGATTGTCCTGACGTAGAGATAGTGTTATCACCTGGAAATGGTACGGCAACTAACATTTCAGGAATCACAACTCTTTATTCTATTCTGCCAGTATTAGTAAGGCCAAGAAGCAGAGGATACATCAGACTAAATGTCACTAATCCTGAAGGATTTCCAATCATAGTTCCCAACTATTTCCAGGATCCACAAGATCTCGAACGTTTGGTAACGAAGTTCACAAATATCCAGATAATACACACGACTCATTGATTTTCGAATTAATATGTGTATTTAAAATACAATTTCAGGCCGAAGGCGGACAATTCGTCTACAATATGTCGAGAACATCTGCGTTGAGGTTTATAAACGCTCAAATGAACCTAGAGAGTATCCCTAGCTGTTCGTCGTCCGAATATCTATCAATAAATTATTGGCGTTGTTTAGCCCGATATTACGGCGCCTCGGCATTGCACCCAGTTGGAACGTGTAAAATGGGACCAGCTAGCGAC